CATGCAATATAGCAATCTCCACGATTTTATGCATAATTTAAATTTTTTAACGTGATAATAAAATATCACTAGATAAGATTCAATATTAAAATGCATAAATTACATTAAATTGCAGACTTTTATTTTTACAATATAATTTAAAAAATGTTATTTTATCAATTCGTTTATCATTTCGTAATTTTCTTCGAATTTAATAATCTTCACGTGGTATAAATAAACACTCTATACGATTTGTAATAAATTAAAAATAAAAATAAAAATAAAATAAAATTACGAAAGAAATGACGAAACAAATAAAAATCTAAATATAAAGACATAGAAATGTTATTATGTACAATTAACTAAATGCATTCCGTATGATCCATTTGATCCAATCGCGAAAAACATTCAGCCAACAATCGTCGATCATTATGATCGTCTTCAATTTCGAGGCACGCAGCAATGTTACGTGGTCTATAATGGCACTATCAATCACTCGTATTAAATATTACAACGTTAGAAAAATTGCGTGTTTCGAGTTTGCGGATAGTCTCCTTTAATTGACTTTATGAAAAAAGCCTTGTCGTAATACTATGCTGTGTAGCTTTTTAAATATATTTTCGATATTAATTGTCAATTAATAAAATAGTGGAGATTACGACATTTTGTTGCGAATCATCGCGTAACGTTCGCACTATTTTGTCAATCGAGTCTGATCACCAAAGTTCACTCGAGTTTATAATTCGAGCATCGATAATCGTAGAATCTCTTCTCTTTCTGTATTCAACATGCTCATTCTTTTTGCGTTATTAGTGCTAAAGATCTACGATAACCGACAATCGCTACACTAAAATGTTTGCGTTTGCCTTATTTATTCTTCAATATGCATGGATAAACGAGCTAATGATCATCATAACGCCTACCGAAATACTTCTGGCTGGAATGTTGTTCCTACGAGAATTACGAAATGTTATATTATAACGTTGCGATGATTCGCGAATAGGCAACTTGCAAACAAACTGCTCTATACACAACTTGACTCGACGTTTCCCAATGCTCGTGATGAACAACCGATTCCGCAATTTAGAAAATTCGATTACTTATACAAACAAATAATAACGTCTAGACTCGATCGACGTAAAACTCTAATGTTCTAATTTTTCATTAAGATCAAAACAATATCAGCATCGAAACGAAAGTTACGCGTAAAATGAAAAGATTTAGGATTGAAGGCAAGAAAGAAAAGTATCGCGGCATCCATCGAAGTACTGCGAGATCTCTGGCCTGGATTCTCCTTTCGATTAGTCGTTCTATACATTTTGGGATAACGCGCTAGGATTGTAGAACGCGCTCTTTCACTCTCTCTCTCATCCCCTCGCGTCGCCGAGTCGAAAGTAAAATACGATAGTGATCGTGATGGCGACGGCGATGACGATGATGATGATGATGACAATGATGGCGACGACGATGACGACGGTGACGACTATGATCGATAGATGAAGCTGCAAGGTGGCGTTGGCGGCGGTGGTGGCTGCTGGCCGCTCATGGCGATCGGTACGAGGGTGGGCGAGGGTGACGAGGAGGGAGGGGACGGGGAACTCGATGACACACTCGACGATGGCGAGGGCGATTCCAGTGCCCTCGGGCCGGCGAGCTCACGATTTGACTGTCCCCCGGACGTCACAGCGCGACTACTTCTGCTGGCCGTCGTCGCGTTGTGGCGATTGCGCGCTGGCCGTCCTAGGCTCCGGTGACGGCCACCCCCCTCCTCGCTCGTTTCTCAGAGATAAACTTTCTTGACGCTGCGCGTGGTCGCAAAGCCGTCGTTGCGGCGATACGCGTCGCCCTGATGAGAGCGAAGAGTGCCAAAGTTGTCCCCACGAGGACCCCCGCGGAAACCATAGCCGTCCGGGAATTGAAAGAGAGTTTCCGTAGGCGTTGGCGGAGGTTTCCTCATGGTACCTTTTGGGGACTGAAGTTTCGGAGGTTGTGGAACCAGCACTGGTTCCGCATAGGTCACTTCCTCCTGCGGTAGCAGCTTCGGCTCAGGCGCCAGCCTGCTAAATGTGGATAAGCAGACATTACTAAGAGCGGCAAATGGAAAAAAATATTCTTTCGCTGAGTCTGCTCGTCAGGTTGAAGCAAATATCTTACCTGTTCACATTTTGGCGTTGCTCGAAGTATTCGTATTCCGTGTCCGGATATGGTAGATTGTCATCCTCGTCTTTCCTGCATTTTCTGCCGCATAAATAACCGGCTACAAAGCCGACGAACAATGCGGCCAGCGCACCCGCTACTACAGCCATCACGAGAGTTTCCACCGAGTATTGTGGAGGAGGCGTGTCAGCTGCGGATACTTCCGGACCTGCAAATAACAGAATACCATTTCAGTTACGTACGATAATGTAAAACGAGAAACATCGACCGACAAGCTGCACACCTGAATTGTCCTGTTCCTCGTCCTGCATAATATTGATAATTTCACCACCGGGACTGTCCTTATTCGGTATGGAGTCCTGCGGAAACTTGTTCTGATTAGCGGAAATGGCGCCGACGCTGCCGGCGTCTTTGTTAAGACTCTTGCTCGCAGGGCAAGACGCGTGCATTCCGGTCGCGACACTCTGCAGGAACCTGCTGGCGTCTGTCGCTGCCGGGCCGACCAACGCTCTGCATTTATTCTCCACTTTGTCCCAGGCGCAGTACGGATCTTGCAGAGCCACGCATTCGCTGCATGATAGTATTCTATCGCTATAGCAACGATGGAGTCTTAACGCTTGCACCTGACTATCAGCGATAACCACCAATCGACCGTCCTCGAGGCCGTCGCCCGCCTGCGAGGCTCGAACAACCTTGATGCCGCGAACCGGTACTGTCGGTGGAAACGCCTGTATCTCCTCGATTACGACTGGACTAACTTTCTGATGAGAATCGGCAGACTCGGCGTTCACCGCTTTAATCACCTTACCGTTGTCCGTGCCGATGAAGAGAACGTCATAAGTCTTGCCGCCTGGAGTCTTCACTTGAGGATCCACGGCGATTTGAGTGAATCTGTAACTAGATTAGAAGAATCATGTTATCAATACCTCTCTCTCTCTCTCTCCCGACTGTATCATCGACGTATAAACACACGAAACGACCAATTTACATGTTGTGATTCACTCGCAGCGTTTCGCTGTACTACGAAAAAAAAAGGTCCGCAGGGAAAATAAAAAAACGTTTATCAACGTCGGGCATACAGTAATGTAAACCGCGCACTCGCATGGATGCAAAAACACACGACGCGGTGATGCGCGATGAAAGCTCCGAAAGCGTGGCTCCGTGCGCGCCTAGTTTGCGTTCAATTTGGATTTCGGCTCGCGGCCGAAATCTCTCGAGCGATTTTCACTTACTGGAAACTGGTACGTATAACGATCGGCTGGCCGAAAAAGCTCGGCACTGACTCGTCCATCAGTGAATGCGTGTTGATGAAGTTGAGCGTCAGATCTGGCAGTGTGCGCGAATCGTTGGTGCATTGACCGGGCCGCGGATCTGGCACCTTCGTGTCCTGCACTGGTAACCAATTGGAGTTCATAGCACTCTGCTCTTTGAAATTGCCAGCGAAGGTATCGGCGATATCCTGCAGCGAGAACGCACATACCGCCGAGCCGCTTATGCTGTTCACCGGTGTTGTGAAGGTACCGTAAATGAGTTGGGCCGATGTGCCGCCGTATTGGCCCGAGATCAACTCAGTCGTTGACTCTGCGATCGAGATATTTCTTAAATTGCTTGGAGAATGTATCCTCGAAAATGCAATGGTATACAATGAAAAAGAAACCTATATGTGTTGGAAATGGTCTACTCACGTTCTTAATAGTTCTTAGTAGTTTGTTGTGTGGAATTTTTTTCACATATTTGAAGTCTTAATTTGACATAATTGTGATTATGTTAAAGATTTTATATTAAATTGATATTCAACATTTCTTAGTGACACAATTTATAGATAAGTGAACAAATAACGTAAAAATAAAACGTTCTAAAATGTAAATTCTAAGGTAGATGAATAAAATGGATTAATTTAACATAAATGTTAATTTTACTGAAAAAAATACATTTCCATGGTTTGTTTACAAACTGTGTCAGTGTTACCTTCTTGTGTTTCTTCTTTAAATAATATTTGTTACTACCTTTTAACATATTCATCTTGTGTTGAATTAACACATAAATTTGAATGAATCGTTTAGGACACGTAAAGTATATTAAATTTAATATTTTTCCAACAATGTATAGATATTATACTTAGAAGACAATGGGCGATATAACGAAAAACTCGCATGGTCCATGGTGGCATACGAGCGATACATATATCTGTCTACTTACGTATCTCGTTAAAGTAGAATGGGAAATCTCCAGTGACGGAACAATTGAGACGCGACTTCAAGAAGGACGTCCACCTGTTACGGAAACGATGCGGTCCGCCCCGGTCGTATTTACAGACTCGCGCCACGCGAGAGTAGACGGCCTGTGAACACGAAAATTGCGTCTCGTAAATTTCACTGTAGAGAGCGTAAGGCGAGAAAATTTTATTTTCCTCCCTCTACTTTCCAAAAAATGTGTCACGAGGAAAAAGGACGAGCGAATGAATGAGGAAATCTAGTTTCAGCTTTTACGCGCGCTATTAAAGTGACACGCACGTTTCCGGGTAGCACAAAGCGTCGCATAAAGATTGCCGCGAAACTTCCTGCGCGGAGCAGCCTGTACGAAATTTACCGTACCGTAACTTTTAGAAAAAATGCGATTTGCAAAATACACTGTGGAATATACTGCACATAAAGAGGACAAAACGAGCGCGGGTGATTTAGAGGAAAATTTATCGTGACCTGTAATTAAAATAGAATTCGCGAGCGTGTACTCGAGCACGTAAACGAATATAAAACGGGAGAAAACGGAACGCTCGCGCGATTTCGAAGATCTCGGAATGATTTATTGTGCCCCGTCGAGATTATAAATTTATTCCGGGCCGCATAAAATTTCTCTGCGACGTTCGCCTGCGGGAGGAGCCGCAATCTTTATCCATAATTCCGTGCGTCCCAACTTTTTCCTCGCTTGGATTTATCCCTTCGCTCGCCGTAAAATTATGCGTCATTATCAGAGAGCACGGAAAGCCTGGCTCCGCCTTTGACAATAAGTCGAGCTTCGACTTAAGCTTCGTCCACAATGAATCCGACGCTCACAGTTCTCACTGCCGCAGGCACGGCACACCCGGAGACATTCGCTTGTGTAACGAAGAGGAGAAGTGACTTCTAAAAGCTTGATCTTCAATGCGAAACGACGGGCAAAAGAAATCGTAATCGCCTTACTCGCCATTAAAAAAACGTCCAGGGAGAGTAACCGACGCGACTACGAACTCGTTTTCGCGAAACTTTCGCGCGTATTATCCGGATCCAACGCGAAACTTAATCTCATCCGACGCGATTCTTCCACTCTATTGTTATCCGTTGACCGTGCGCTAATTCGTCGAACAAAATATTGTGACGGGATTTTTATAGTCGCGAGCCAGGTCTTTATCATGCAAATTTCGATTCGCCGTGAAAAGGCCGAAGTATTAAATCGTACGCGTGAAAATGACGCGACGGAAGTTAATGGTGAAACTAGTGCTGTTTAAGGGGATGTTGTGTGACATCATCTGTAATACCGACATTTTGTACTTTTTCATTTTCTTCGTTTTCCTCATACAGAATAAAAAAATCCTTCTCCAGAATAAAAAGAAATACACAAATAGTTATAGGAAACTAGAAATCTATAATGTATGAAAAATAAAAAAAAAAATTGTAAAGAAATATGTAAACTACAATTTTCTGTCATCACGTAGGTTATTTCTTCACATGATATAAATAATTCCAAACATATATTCAACAAAAAGTAATTTCTCCATATTTAAAATAAGAATATAAAGAGATCTTCAAATTATGGTTTTGAAGCTTATAAGAGAAGTAAATGGAAAAATACGATTTGAGTATAGATAGTTTAATGTGATATATAGGATGTGATATACAGGAGAGGAAGAAATGTACGTAATGCGTTTCTTGATGTTTTACTTAATGTACGTAATATTTTGCTTAATGTATATAATTTTGTATTTGCAATTAACAAATCTATTTTATCGATCAAGTTTAATCGTGGCTCTAGCATTCTTTTAAGCGAGTATCGCTTTCTTTAACTGCATGATTGATTTTTATCATTTAGACCAACGCGAATGCATACATTGCGGTTCCACAGTGCTCGAGATTTTCAAAAGACGGACATCTCCGTTTACGGCAATCCAATAATTGCGAGCTACGCGATTCCATCCTCTGGAAATTTATGTGGGTGTAAGGTGATATATATGACGATTAATTGCCGACGATTCCTTACCTTGCCGCAATTGATATATTCTACAGCGGTCTCTCTAAAGAAGAAGTAGACGAAGTCTCCTTGGGACATGGAGCTCACGAAGTTCGGTGCTGCAATTAGAATATGTAGCCATTATTACTGACTGCTATTGCCAGCGTACACGGCGATAGTAAATGACGTCATAAATTCCTCTTATAAATAAATGAGCGTAATAACCACCTACTGGAACGCAATCGATGGTGTGTAATAAAGCAGACAACGCTCATACAGTACCCGGAAAATAAGGGTTGGGATCTCGCCGCGATTTATTTAAAAACTTCTATTTCTACTTGACGTCGCGCGATGAACATTAATTCTCGCGCGTTCGAGCGGCTCAAAAAGTTAAGGCAACCGAAAGTACAGTTATTTATGCCAACTAACGTTCCCCTTAATTGTGCCATTAATTCCGACAAACGCGGTAATTAATTGGGTGTAATCACCGGCGATTAAGTGCATCAAGACACTCACGTTGACAAACGACGCATTAGGCTAATTATTAACGCTCGAAAATTACGTACAACTCCGCTGTTGATGATCATCATCCCATCGGTAAAACAACGAACGCGAAAATGAATCAAACCGTGAAGAGTCGTGACTCGGACGCGAAAGTTTAATGTCGACATCAAAGACATATAACATCCAAGTATACACCACTGCCAATAAGCCAGCTACGTGTAAGGAGCCCTTTTATTTTCTCTCGGTTATTTCAACGCCGTCGCCCGGTAAAACGCTGCCACCGTCGTCGCCGTCGTCGCGTCGCGGTTCCGGTCGACCGTCCGATAAAGTGGGAAAACTTTATCGATTTATTAACTTGACAGGGTTTTCATAAGCTTCTTAGGATTCATAAAGTAATATTAATCTCGCCACGCCACGTAGGTATATCCGAACGACCCGTCGCTCTCCGCCCCATAAATTCTCCTCGTTTTACCCAACCCCTTAGCGAGAGAGCTCTCCTCCAGCTCTCCTATCTCTTTCTCTCTCCCTCTATCTGTCGTCGCTGGTTCGCTTCCTTCCTTCCTTCCTTCCTTCCTTCCTCACTTCCTTTCCACCTCGCGTCCCACGTCGCGTTTAACTGCACCTCCGTGCCCGAGACAAAGTGCCGTAGAAAATTCGCGGTGAAGATCGGAGCCTTTTCCCGAAAGGGAAACACTTCCGTCGTACTCCCGAGTCTCACCTTTCTTGAACTCCCTCCGCGACCGATTAGAGAAAAATGCCTTTCCCAGACGACACAGTCCGTCGTCGTTTCTCCGCGTCTTTCGCGTCTTTCGCGTCTCGCCAGGAATTATTCGTCCAGAGATTTTCGATTCGCGATTTGCCGAGGGAGCGATACGGAGGTTCGGGGCGTAGGATGGCGGCGAGATAGAATTGAATTTTCGACGGACGAAGAGAAAATCAATATTGTCCAACGGGTGGAGAAACTTGATTAGCGCTCTCGTACACCGTTCAATTAAAATACCCCTGGTGGACTGGAGGCCCCCCGTTGTCTCCGCCTCGAGCAAAGTGACGTATCAATTTTAACACCGTGACGACGAAGACGTACAGTACTTTGAAGTTATGTATAATACACCGTAGTATAACGCTAAGAAAACCAGTTTTTAATTTATTAAATCCACAAAGGATCTCTATATGCGACGTATGAGCAGCAATGTTAGGCGAACAAAGAACTCGTCGATAACCATGGAAATCATAGCGTGTATCAACATGTTTCAAAAAGTGCGATAAAAATCTGTTGTGTCTACAACGTTAATTAAAATCGTGTTTAAATTTCGTTAAATGGAAGAGAAAAAAAAACGTGCGGTATATTTTCGTATATTTTGAATATATCCAAATAAAAAAAATATGAAATCATGTAAAAATTCTGGACATCGAATGGAATAAAATCCCACTCGGTTGAATATGATTTAAATAATAATGACATTTTGTTAGTTAAAAGTCATAGCAGTTAGCTGACTGTGTGATATCGCATTCCTGTTATAGACGGTCTATATTACGATGCAACGGGGTCGCATTACAATCTCTAGAGCAAATTTCAAGCCGATGGGCACGGCAGCGCGCTGTTCTGTCGTTACACGAGCCCGGAAGATCCGCGGAATAATCTTGGAGCAAGTACGATGAGAGGGAGAGAGAAAGAGAGAGCTTAGAGAACCACGTACACGCACGGTTAATCCCAGAATTACATCGTGTGGATTAGGAGCAGCGAAGGGCACACACGGTCGCGGCTACGATCGCGCGACATTTCCGCGAATAATTTTCCCGGAGCGGGCGCGCGCGTCGGATTTTCAAAGTCGACCCGGCGCGACCGAAACTTGGCGTGCAAATATTGAATCAAACTCGCAGTTGAACTTTAATGGACACGGATGTGTATTATGCGGGAGCTGCCGAGGAATTTTCAAACATTCAGACACGTGTTTATCCCGGTCACTTCGCGCCCGAGAGAGATCGCATTTGACGGCGGTATAACGAGGTCGATAATGGACAATAATTATGTCGCATCGGAATATTAATAGGATAATTTCAGAAGTTGGTAAGCGCGGTAAAACGATGTGATTAAAGTTGTGCATGAGAACGATAATAGCCTCAGTGGCAACCTGACGAACTACGTGAAATATAAGCGACGCCGCGAAAAGTTTCATGCAATTCCATTCATTCGGGAATTCCCTTTTCTTCATAGTACGGGATTCCGTCTGGCTTATTGATCATTTTTATTTAATATCGGATCATCACAGTCCACCTCCATTCCGAAACTTCTCTTATTCGATTCTCTGGATAATGTGAATCCCAGTAACTTTCTTCCGTAAACTTCTGCAGATACTTTCGATAAATGCGCGACTATTGTCTTATTGTTAAGAAACGCGGAGTTCGTTCAAGGCGCTGGGACTGAGAGTCGATACAGAAACGCAAACTTCCAAGAGATACAAATAACGGGTCTTTCGCTACAACTCCTTGCAATTAGAAAGTAACGATTAAATTAATCGGATCTCGGGTTATAAGCTATCTATCGCATCCAATTAGCTCGATCTAATTGCGATCCGATCTGGTGACTCTTAGAATCGCTATTTGCAGAGAAATCGTCTTCGATATCTTGGTACAATTAGAAACGATAAATAACTAAAATAAATTAATCCAAGCGTTTCTAGAATAAATATTTCATCTTATAATTATAAGTAAAATTATCATTTTACAAAAATAACGTTAGAAATTATAAAATGTCTTTTAAAATAACATTTTAAACACTCTACATTTGATAATCTACAACTTGCCGCGTTAATAATAACTTACAGTTTTCCGCGATGAAAATTAATATTCGGAGTTTCGATCATTAACTACCGACTTCAAACCGCACTTGTCACCGTGTCGAATTAATGGCAAAAGCGCGCCGCGAAAATGAAAATTGATATCCCGAGTTGCGATCGGAGTTAACCGCCGACTTTCAATGTAAATCAGCAGAACGCGATCATTAAGCATCATCAATCACCCAGGCGAGAATTGACGATTGGATTAGCCTTCTCACTCACCGTTCAGACTCATCGAGTCGTACTGCTCGGTCTGCAGTGGCTCCCTATAGATTATCGGGTCCATACCCGCGAAATCAGCGACCGTGCCGGTGTAGAGTTCACCGTCGACATAGACGAAGGTACTGTTGTGTTGTGGGTCATACGGGCACCTAGCCTGACCGCCCTTCTCTTTCACAATTGTGTAGTTGCCCGCGTGTACCGTATAATCACGGCACATGGGCTTGAAGGCGTTGGTAGCACACACGAAGAGATTGTTCGGCCCGGTCTTCACGAGGATACGAATGTAGTTCTGGCAGTTTTCCTCGGGTGTACCTTTGACGACACACATCTTCACGTCGTTCTCTGTCGAGTACCATGTCAGCCTCTGCTGCTCCGTCAAGTCGGTCAGACTGAGATTATGCACGAGATTTCTAAAACAAGATATAATAGTTAATTGATTATTTATTTACGATTATATATTTAAAAATGAAGATTCCTTCACGGAAAGAACGGTTCTACTAAAGTATAAATAAATATTAATAAAAGTAAATATTAAATATTTAAGTAGATACAGATCTGAAAATAATTTTGTTTGAATCATCAAAATAATTATGTAGAAGTTTTAAAATTCTAACAACCAATTTAAGCATTTTACATAATTATTTTGATAGGATAATGAACGGTTACATCTAAGTAGGAATATATCAAACTTCTATGACAAGAATTTAATGCAATCTCTATTGAATAAATTTTTGTAAAAAGAATGTCCTTTCAAAAATCTTCTTTAAATTCTAAACTGACATGGTCACTAGTATCTTTCGTATTACGAACGTTATTACGAGTACCAGAGAAGCAAAAGGACTCTAATGTACGTTAGATGGAGAGGAAAGAGTTTCCAAGTTGTAAAGTTAGATGCCTAAAGTAGACATCAACGGAGCGGAGCAAGGCTGTCTGGTTAGCACGGATTTAGCTGAGAAAGCGGCGCTTGTGAAGTTTCGGCAGTCGATCGTTAACTCTTCTTCATTAAGCACTCCGCCGTATGCTTAGAAGCACTTTAAAGAGGAAGAATCTCTCCGCGCTCGGTGCTAGTAACGTCGGCTGCGCCGATCGGATTTTGCCGACCGCAGAATAATCGCGAGGTATTCTCATATTATAAGCCCGACATAACGAGCAAGAAACAAATTTTCATATCATCGACAGTGTGCACACGGCGGTCATGATGGCGGCGACGGCGGCGCTCGGCAAATCGGCCGAGCAATTAGTGTAATCCGATCAATAACGAACGAGCCTGGATATATATCAGAGTTCATTCACGCACAATGCATTTAATCTGTGTACGACCTGATTATCGCTGCTTCTGCCGACTGATTTCAACGTTGGAACAGCGTGCATTCAGCACATACGAAACATGAATAGAGTTATCTGCGTGCACGCTCGAGAATCCGAGGAAGAATAAGGGGGAAAAAAAAAGAAAGCGCGCTAATCGATCAACTGAGGGCATAATCAAATCATTTGAATACATCCCTTAATGACGAAATTCAAAGCCTGCATTTATATAGATATATAATTTATACATATTTATAAAATAATTATAGACGCAATATACAGGGTATCTCTATCAGAATTAACGGACTAACTGCGAGAACAGATTCTATAAGTGGAAATAAGAAAAAAGTGTTAAATATGAAGAAATGCTTAACTACAAAATTATAAACATTTAAATAGAACATGAAATAAGAAACAAAAAAATTTTCTATTGTGCAGAATATCCAAGTGTACATTTTGTATACGGAAAGAATTGTCCGATAAATTCTGAGACCCTGTATATTGCATCTACAATTACACATTATTTTATACTGTATTCTTTAAATTTTAATACGATACTGTATACGTTTAGCCCCTAAATTTCTTAGTGAAACCTCACTCCAAGAAAGTGAAAATGCAACCATCTTTGAAAAAAAGTGAAAATATTTCACTTCTTGAAAAAAAGTAATGATTTTTACTCTTTTTAGAATAAAGTCTCACTTTTTTTAAGTGAAAATTCATTTTAAAAAGAGTGAAAATCATTACTTTTTTTCAAGACGTGAAACATTTTCATTTTTTTTTTTCAAGAATGATTGTTTACTTTCTTGGAGTGATGAAATTTCACTGTAAGAAATTTAGAGTGCACTCTTTGTGAGTGACTTTATTGTACTTGTAAGAAATTTTATAATAAAGATCAATCATACGCAGAAATAGTATTACAAAATGTTTGATATCACAAACAATAAGTATTCAAGTTTAATTCATACATGACTCATCAATAATCGATTGAATATATCCAACAGTGTTAATGTGACATCTATTGTTATATTTGACATGATTAATTATCTCATTAGGGAATATAGTGCTACATAATAATTTTTGTTTATATACATTCAACGAAATTGATCGTTTATTAGCTTTTAATGAATAAAATGTAATGAATAAAACAAATAATTGCGATATGTTGTATTAAAGATATTTTTCGAGACCTACGCATTTGTTTAGTGATAATATCTGTTCTGATACCTCTTTACAATGAATATTAGAGAATGAAATTATTATACAACTTGGAGTACAATGCCGATTAATAATGCATTTTAAAGGCTGTATACAATTGTGATACGATTAGCAGTATCATTGTCAAACAGGAAATTAATAATGACGACGTTTCAACAAATCCATGATGATACACACATATAATTAACTTTAACGATTAAAATGATCATTATAGCTTAAAGTCCATTCCAGGATAACGATCAATGCATAATTTAATGTAATCGCAATTAAAAATCCGCACTCTTGGCCAAGCGGAGATTTCGCGAATGTTTTCCACATGCCACCGCACACAAAGTGCCGCCGGCAGAATTCCAAATCGACTTTAATCAAGAGAAGTCGGCTAGGAGTTGGATTAAAAAATATTCTTGCATTGAGAAAAATTTCTGGATGAAAATGAACAAGCCAAGAGATTCAGATCATATCAATCAGAATTCTGATCATCAACTAGAATTACAATAGATTCAACGAAAAAATTCTGATTTGTCCATTTTTTATTAGAATCTCATTAGAATTAATGCAACCAGTTATTTTTTCCAACATGGACAAGTATTCAATTTACGCGATAAAACGAGTTTACACGTAATATATAGAAGAAATTACACGATTTTCGATCTACTTCATGATCACCAACGTTCTCGAGCGCTCGTGCAGACAGTGGCGCAATGATACGTCGGAAGATGGATTGGTGGGAGGACTAAGAGGAGACTATAGGAAGCAACGAGAGGCGAAGGGGAAGAGGAATAAGAAGAAATGGAAGAAGAAGAAGCGGCTCTTTAATTAAAGCACTAGCTTCAAATGAATCCTCTATTTACCTTCCGCCGACCATAAGATAGTTCCCGTCCCTGAGCACCAACCGAAAGTAGTCTGTGTGCGTCTCGTTTCCCGTAAACCTGAACACATCCTCCGCACCTGGAAAAGAAAAGCAGAGGAAAGGTTTCGGATTAGTTTTTGTTCTATCGTTTGAAAAGTGGAATTACCTTATTCTATCTAATTAGCCGTCGACGGCCATCGACGTTGCTCTTTTGTGACAGTCGACGGTTCGTCCTCCCCATCCCACCCTTCCTCCCCCTGCCGCGCCGCCGCGAAAGACCGGAAGCCGGCTTTAATAAGCGTAATAAGCTTCCTTTTGACCACGGACTCGATGAACAATGCTGATCGATTATTAGCGAACTGTGAGCAGTCTTTCTTAACTTCACTAGTTGGAAAAAAAAACGATTCCATTATTCGTTAATTATCTATTGACCACAATTCACGAAGTTGATGTTTTGTACACTTTTTCAGTGCATTAAAATCGATTGCCGAATTCAAGCGTAACATGAATACTGCAGAAGGATTGACGTAATGACACGTACTGCAATTTCGTTATACTTTACATTCAAACCTCGTGAATTTTGTACACTGTATTTCTGCCCGTACAAAATGTTCTTTCGGACAACGAAATAGTCATGTTCAACATCTGCGAAGCGAAACGTTAATGAACGCCTCACTGGATCCCCGAGTGTAATAAGCAGAAATTTCCGGGGCAATCAATGGCGATCGTAGCAATCTCGGATCCGGTGCATGCAATTCGGGACATATGCATAAATTGCTTTGCCACACTGACGACGCGCAGCATATGTAGCATGCGAGAAAGCAATATGAGCTTATTAAATATTAGTGCGTCATATGTGACGTATAAAAAGAAATATGCTCCTCAATAATAATGTTTTACGATAACAATAAATAGAATACAATAAATAATTGTTTTTAACATGTTTCTCATCAATGCATCTCTTAATTTGCATCTTCGAACATAGAAAATGTGCAAAAATGGTACGAAGTTTTCATGTCTATATTCTAAATTTTCTAATATCAATGGCATCAAGGTCGATGCTCTCTCTCTCTGTTAATAAATCATTGTATGTAGAACAGTCATTTACAAATATCAATTAAAAATTCTCTTCGATTTCCAGTGTCATCGATCGATCGATACGGGAACAATCTGTATAATTAAAAGGGTAATTATCAGACGATCCCATATCCTGGATGTCACTCAATGTAGACGATCCGACTCGTGCATCCGGTAACTGTGATTCAGGCCAATGATAAGAGATGTACTTATGCATCCAATCGCATCAGCAACAAGAAATGAGGACAACGATTAAACGGTTCATATGAAAACGGTTCACTGAAATGGAAACGTTTTTATTTCTATCTTATTAATTATTATGTAGCAAATTATTCGTAATTTCATCAGGAAAAAATGACAAAAAATTAACTTCATTATGCAATGAAATATAATACGAAGCATACTTATTTAAATAGTTTATCGGTTAACTGCGACTGAATTTCGATTACACTATAATTTGAAAAGCGCTGCAACACAAACATAAATGGTTATATAATCTAGCTAATTGCGCCATATTTAAATGTAATTAAACGTCCGCATTTGAACCTCACTTATGGAATGCGTATGATAATTATTCTGGGCTTTGCACATTCAACTGCCACTCAATGTCAACCACTGAACCACCCTCTACCTGATTTATGTAATTCGAGTCATGGATACACACACACACACACACACACACACACACACACACACACACACACACACACACACACAC